AAGCGAGTAACAGTTTAATAAGGGGGGCACAAGCTCGTTATACACAATATTAGTATACGTAGCGAGTAACTGTTTAATAAAGGGTACAAGCTCCTTATACACAATATTAGTATACATAGCGAGTAACTGTTTAATAAGGGGGTACAAGCTCCTCAATGCAAGGACATGAATATTCTCTACTTTATTCTAAAAACAAAAACAACAACAAAAACCACTCAAAATATTCAGTACAGATTTTAAGTATTTTACAGCAAAGGAATTGTTTGATTTCCAAATCGAGTTCTTGAATACTTGAGCATCAGTATATTTAGAAAATGTCGCCACAGTTGCTTACTTCGTCTATTTCTGGCCTTTTCGGAATATACGTGTAAAAGATGGTGGCCTATGTTTAGTCATGGATATAAAACATGCTTATGTTTGTTCTTAAAATTTTCAAGCAAACTACACATGGCATATTACACATAGATGTCCCTAATTTTGAACTGATAGACTAGAGGGAAGAAGCTAAAACACCATCAACCCTTGGGCAACTCTTGTCTGTCCAAATAGTATGATTTGACAATGACGTTTTAGGCACATCCCAGACTGTAAAGTTCGGAGAACGATTTTTGAGACAACAGGTTGCGCACCACGAATTCTCGGAATCACAATTTGCACAGACACAAATAACTAGGCCACGCTAGGCCGATATGTTTCTAGCAATGCCAAAATTTAATGTCAAAAACCTGTTTAGATGTAATTACTAAATCATCAATGTCAAAATAATATTAATATATGATTTATCAATCATTAATGCCATAAGAATGGTTTTAAATACATAAAATTAATCGAGTCCATGTGTGAGAAACATGGTTTGACCATGACTAATTAAATGTTAATTCCAGAATAAACTGTTATAATTAATTAACTATAAATACTTGAAAACTGATTTATACATGGTTAATACATGGCTTATCAACCATTAATTAAAATAAAAGTGTTTAGATATGATTAATCAATCATTATTTAGAGACGAAAATGTTAAAATGTAATGATTACTGGAACATTAATGTCAGATTTATATATAAGTATATATAACTGACTTACCAACCACTACATATAAATATACACATATATATACCTGATTTACCAACCACTACATATAAATATACACATATATATATATAATTTACCAACCACTACATATAAATATACACACATATATATATATATATATATACATACCTGATTTACCAACCACTACATATATATATATATTTATACCTGACTTATTAACAATTATTGCCAGGAAAACCGTTCAGAAATGATTAATCGTCGTTGACACAAGGCTAATACGTTTCTGGTTAATTTAAAAACATACGCTATGATATGGATTTACAAGTGCTAACATACGTCTCTGATATTAAAATATGGGGGTTATGACTATAACGGCTGGAATATGACTAATTAATGAAATATACATTTCATAAATCGCTTTATAACTAACTTTAAATTGCTTTAACACAAAGAAACTCGGTAAGTCAAGTACTTTCGAAAAGGAAACTTACCTCCATCAGAGATATTATGCTTTGTTAGTAACTGAAACGGAAACCTATTGTTTAAAACTCCTTTTGCATGAAAGTCCCATTTTACCTGTCATGAAGGGAGATAATTCATATACTGAAAGTCCTTAGGTCATCGCGGATTCATGAAATTTGATTTTTACTTTTAATAAATAACTGGCAATAAGTTGAATTTTCAATTTATTCCTATGAAGTTATATTATAACGCCTTACAAAAGCCACTTAAGGGAAATCAACACCTTAGTAATTTCGAGCATTTCTTTATTTCGTGTATTTTACCTGAGTAATCCTGCTTTTTTTCAACATGTTTAATTTAATAATTTCATTTTCCCTCTCTTTATTCTGAAGAAGTATAGAGTGAATCAGCTATTGTTTTGGTTATATGATGTAAGGATAATTGTCAGACATGATTAAGTGACATTCAATGAGTTCTTCGCTAACAGTTGATACCTCGATTATTATTGACCCACTCGACCGGTGGTGGCGTTAGCCACTGTTGTATTACTACTACCAGTCAACATTCAGCGCTGCGAAAACATCTACTTCGGCTAGGTTTCTGTGTCGACAAAATACAATAACGTAAGCTGCAGAAGCAGCGGTATCAAGAGATGTTTCTCGGGAGTTAAATGTGAAAAGTAGGCAAACCATCTGTTGAGTTTTGCCGAGTGATAACATTTTACTACAACTATGTGGATTATGTGGACAGCTATTCTGCTTTATAAAGGTAAGTTAACCTAGAGCTCATATCGTATTATTTTTCGTAGTGGTTTATAAGTTAAAAAAAAATGTTGTTTTTTAAGCACAAAGCTCTATTCATCGTGAGGAATCGAACCCTAGGTGATGATGCTATCATTTCATAAAGCTACTACTGACAAAAGAGAGAAGGAAAATAAATATCCTTAAGTCAAACTACTCAAACCCTTCTCTGTTACATTAGACTCGATTATTGAAGTTAGAGAAATAATTTCTTTTATCTTATTTAAATTAGGTACCTTGGTTCACTAACTGTTAACAATTATTAACAACATTACTCTTATATTGTACTTGATATTATGTTGGAAATAGCATGAAATAGAGAGAAAATACATCGTTCAGAGTTTGAAACAGTATATATATTTTTCATAACAAGCAGATGTTTAACACAGGATCGCATCTTTTTATTAGGGATCGCAATAATATGTCGTTTCTCATTCTACTTCTCCGGTGATTGCACAAAATGAATAAAATACTTAAACATATATATATATATAAATAAAATAATCCTTCCGTACGTTTCTGCTATTAATGATATCCGAAAAAGTCAGTTTAGAAGTAACATACTCTACAAGTGAAGAATGAAGTATATCATTATTTGTACAATATTCTAGAAGTTAGGTATTTAGAATAGTTAATCACCAGCATAGTTTACCCGTAAAGAATTACTAGAAACGGTACATTACGAATAGTCGAGCACAAGTCGAGATATAGTCGTGCAATATTGTGCACGAACTCATATTGCGAAACATTATATATATATTTTACACATTTGAAGTTCAACACTCTACTTCAATAATTGAACAGGTAGTCATATTCTTCAAATTATAAAATGGATATGGAACTTCCATATAGGTAATATATCAAGTCTGTAGACTTACGCTATCATATATTATAAAGTAAGGGTAACATGTACCCTAGTTTTATTTGTTGGGTATTTTTCTGGTTCGATGCAACTCTTTTTGTTTTTGGCCTTATTTTCTGTCAAGCGCAGAGCTGTACAATGGGTTCTTTATGCTGTGCACAGTGCTGGGATCGTACCTCTATTTTTAGCGTTATAAGGCACGAAGCTTAACGAACCATCCGGTGTTTGGTTTAGTTAATTAGCGTTCAAGGTTATGAGATGTTTATTTACACTTTTTATTTAGATTTTTAAAGTTAACATAATTATTGTGTAATCGTAAAATATACAGAGCTTACTAGTAAGTAGACAATCTCGGAAATGCCCCCGAGTGACATAGCGGCAAATCTGCGGACTTACAACGTTAGAAACCGGGTCTCGAAACCCATGGTTAGCAGAGCACAGGTAGCTCATTGTGTAGGTTTGTGCTTAACTTGAAACAAACAAACTGTCGGAAATACATATTTGCCACCTTCATGACGTTAAATGCAAATAATCCCGATATATATATATAAACAAATATAGATTGCATAGAATACAAACAAACAATGCGCGTACGATGGTCAAATTCAATGAAAGATCACCAGTCACTTGCAATAACGGTGAAATACAGCTCCAGTCACGTCGGTAAACAACAGTTTCTACCCCCAACCCAACAGAACGGATTCCTTGTGTTATGTAGAGAATTAGCCATATTGAACTGCCATTACTGTTTCAGGACAGGTGCTAGAGTGGTCCCATATCCACAGAAGTTATCTTTATAGCGGAATAGCTAGGAGGAATCCTCTCTTCGCTCCAGCAATACCAATCAAATTATCAGACGAATCAGAGTTTTCATTCAAGATAGAGGCCCTTGCTCACTTAGTCCGAGTCTGAAAAATGTTGGTTTGAAGGTCAGGACATTAACAATCTCCTGTGTTCAGGCCAATCGCGAGATGTGAACCATCTCGAGCATGTGTGGTCCATCCCTGATCATTCTCTGCGAAAGCGTCCTAAACAAACAGCTAATAGAGAAACCTCCATCCAAGTCTTTCGCCAGGCGAGGAGAGCAATAATATTGGCCCAGATTTCATATCATGTAAATACGATGTACAGAATGTCCAAAAAATGTAGAACCATAGGTGATTTGCAGCTTTTCCGAATTTAATGCACGCCATCCCGAGACAAAGAAAAACATCACTCACAGTGCTGTTGGGAAGTTGTTAGCTAAATGTAAGGAGACTGGTAGTGTGGACCATTGACAATGATTAACATGATTAACAGTGTTAAAATAGAATGGAAAAACCGTCTTCAAACTTGTTTCGAATTACAAGGACAGCATGTAGATCACATTCTGTAAAATTCGTTGAAGTGTCTATGGTTCCAGACATTTCGGACAACCTCTATAAACGGGGTTTTGCCTTAAATATTGCAAAGAGCAGATACATTAAATACTACTGGAGGTGGTTTCTATTTACTTATTGGTAGAGTGTGTGGGTACCACCTATTTGAATACATGAGTAATTTTAAAGGCTGAGCGGACAAGTTGAAATATATGACGAAACTTAATATCTAATACAAAAACACAACAGTTTCTTTACTAAATACTGAATTGACATATTTTATTGTATTGATTAAAAAAAATTATATGAAGTTTATATGTGCTAGAATACATAAGTATACATTACATTAACGAAAAGTGCGTTCGTTTCATTTACAGTGGAACACTTGAAACGTAAATATTCGTTTACAAAGGAAGCGTATCTTCGATACGCTGCAGGTTGTAGTTTCGAAGACTTCCTTGAGGCTTTTAATGAATTTTGAACGATAAGTTTAAAACTCTCTTTTTGTTATTCATTTTATCATGCATGGTTTACTTCGCTCAAACCCTTACCGCCTTATTTACTTAATATAATTTTCTTAGCTCAAGGTTCTCGATGCATATCTTGGGAATTCCAATTTTGTCAATAGAAGACTGAAAAGAGGAGAAGCTTGTGAATTACGTTATTTTAAATTTTTTTCTGGATGGAATAATTTTGTGTTTATGTTATGTCATTATTTCAATAAATATTGTTTAATCATGATTAAATAAATACCGTATATGTATAATTACATGCATAATAACCAAAACTCCTTGAGAGCTTTAAAATGAGTATTATAATCAAAACATAGAAAGAAAAACAGATAGGGAAAATAATTAAACACAAGGGAAAAGTTTGTAAGTGCGATTGAAAATATGAGGAACTTTCAGATTTTTATTTTTTGGAATAATTGTAATTATAATTAACAATGAAGAATTAATTTGATGTGTAGGGACAAAGGAGTTTTGTATTACAAATCGTTTGGAAGACATATACAGTGGTGCGAGTTACATTTTTTTTTTGGATATGTTTCGACATCTCCGGAAAATGTTATCCAACCGGATGTTTATGAGAAATTTTCTTTTTGCACCATCGATGTATGTTTTTTTTTATGTACATATATCAAACCATATAAACATGTTAGCATTCTTTATTATACTTTTATTTTTGTGAAATATGAATGAATAAAAAACGAAAAGAAAGTTTTCAAAAGATTAATTTCAAAAAAAAACGTTTCAAATTAAAGATAGGCTACTTTGTTATATTAAAATGAAAAACGGGATTATTCATAGGTTACAAAAGAAAAAGGCTAAAATAAAAGACAGCACTGTATCTTGTAATTTAATTATTTTTACGCTTATATTAGATACAGTAATGTAATGCAGTAGAATAAAAGCTTGAGTACAAAAATAAAGTCTGATGCAGTAAGAAATAAGTATTTAATGACATCAAGAGAGTAGCCTTATGGATGTATGGATGTTTTGCTTCTGTATAAACTGTTCAAGTAATGTCATATACTTCGTATAATATGTTATACAAATTTTGAGAATGGAAATTCCCGTATGTGGGTGTGAATGTTGTTACAGAATAATGGAAAGACAAATTTGAAATATGAACCTTATTAAAATGAAATTATGATAAGACTCACAAACAGAATTTTAAAATTGAAAGAGGGAGCATTTGTTCATTTTACGTCAAATATATTAAGGTATATTTCAGTTCTAATGTTCTTTTATAAATTTTATATTATCTCATTATGAATTCTTAATACGTTCGAACAGAAAGTCGTTAAAATGCGATAAGTAATCATTGAATCTATTATAATGAAGGTTCGGTGTTCTGTTTTAATGCTAAGCAAAGTAAAAAAAAATAAAATAAATGCAGTGTTTACAGCGTAACAAGGTAGCATAAACGGAAGTTCTCTCTATATACTATCAATCAAACTGGGTGTGTCGACATTTTGGCGGGCCCACCGCAGAGATAAAACACTTAAATTACTTATTTTCTACGAGCTCTTGCATTAAGCACAGCTGATATAGACGGATCTAGAAAATTAGTAAAGTCGAGATAAATATATTTCAGCGCATGAAGAGCTGTTGTTGCACTCAGTGAAAATGATGAAGTTCACTAATTGGAAAAAGCTTGATATGTAGCATATACATATTTTGTTCGAATTATTCGCACACCAGTGGACGGTCCATTTATTTTTAAAGCATAACATTAATATATTATTCACAAAAAAGTAGATCAATCAGATGACATTCTATAAATTGTAAAACATACCGATTATTGAGTTCAGTTAAATTCAAAGTATGTTTTATCCATATTAAAATCGAACAAACAGTATAGATATTAAGTAATTTTATTTTTTCCCGCCAAAAATATCCGGACGCTATTTTATCATGTTCTGCAAAGGTATAAATGCAGATAGACATCCGATTGATAGGTATATTAGTACCATCGAAGTGTGGGCAAAATACCAAAATGCCGCGAATTAGGTGGATTCAAGATAAATCATTATGAGATAAGGAAGTACAAATAATCAAAACAGAAAAATGATTTCAGTGCTTTGTCACGCGTGGACAAGAGTATTTGAGATAATTTGATAAAAACTGAGAACTTGACTGTACAAGTTAAAAGAAAACAAAAACCTTCAGGTCAGCCGAAAGTGTTTACAGGCATTGCAAACGTTCTCATTGTAGGATGCTTAATAATCTTTGTCAAACTCAA